CGCCACCGGGCACCCAAATTCAATTATATTTTCATATTTTTCTCTAAAACGGTATGGAAATTTTGAAAAGTATAAACGGAAATATAAACCATTTTAGAACAAGCAAAAATTCTTATAAAAAATACATATTAATAAAAAAAAGTCTCTTGTAAAGACAATCCTGCATACTGTATGTAGTTTTTTCTCAGCTGCATGAGGTTACCCTGTAGATATTTGTTATTTATCATCAGACAATATACTAATAACGTTATTTATTCCTTTTCCTTGTATCGGACCATTTTTAGTCGAATACTTAATAACAGAATACCTAACTCACTTCTTGTCCGTATTAGGTGTAGGCGGGTTTTTCTTCACAAACGATCTGCGTTTGTTTTGTTTTACTTTCAGGATACGGTGACGTGAACGGAAAAAATTCTTTGACGTCACAGAGTTCGGCGCGAATCGACTTCGCAAAACAAAAATCGTGGCGATTTGTTTCGTTGTATAGTTTATTTTTGTTGCGCGATCCAGATGTGAAGTAAATATATTTTTTCTCCTAAATTAAGATACACCGATTGGTGGAAATGGTAGGTGTTGAATTTTGCGAAAGGATCAAAGATATTAAAACTTAAAATCTTTGGAAATGACAAATGATTGGGTGTGCTATATGAGATTTATTAAAAAAATTATTAAAATTCCAAGTAAAGTTATTCAAATAATGTGTGTATTGGTCGAGAATATGCCTTCAAGTCCTTTTTGAATAAAATGATTAAGGATAAGGACGGTAGACGGAAAAAGGACTCTAGCGTGGCGATCCTTGACAGTTCTGTTTGACGATTCATTTGACACATTTGAATTTGATTGGAAATTTGTGGATTTGTCAGCCTTTACTGAGCTTATTTTATGTTCTTTATTATTTATTCTACTACTGCTAGTTGTATAAAGGTAGTAAATCTAGAGGGAAATTATGCATTGGCGTAACTACAGGGGAGCCCGGGGATGCCGGCCCCCCCCCCCAGATACTGCTGGGCACCCCCCAGAGAAATCCTGAATTATGACCCTTGGCTACGTATTAATTTTTATTTGCTTGTGATGCAGTAAAAATGACGTTTTCTAGTTTTGTTTAGTTAATATTATTTTGTTGTGTTCAAAAAATGTGTTAATTTTTATTTTTTTAGAAAATTTGTCGGTATTTAAGTAATCTAACGGGAACACGGTTTGATAACCAAGTCTATGAAATTTATTGATAGAGAAATTCATGTAAACGTTTTATTAAAAAAATGTGTATTTCAAAATTATTTTTCATTTTTAAAAAAAACAACAGCCCTAGACCCCCCTGTGCTAAACCCCAGACCCCCCCCCAGGCCCACCCCAGGATAAATGGCTAGTTACGCTAATGAAATTATGGCAGAACTTAAATTAACACTGACACTATTGCGATTTATCGAAAAAGACTGTTAAATAGTTGATTGTGTAGCATGCGGTAGATTTCGGTCAAAAATCGAGGGAAATAATGGAATAACTTTTCGCTAGTAAGTGGCTTTGTAATATACAGTTCGTCTGCTGGATCTGTATCTATGAAAGGAATGCGGACAAAAAACATTTAAATAAACAGCAATATATTTTATACCCGACTTGACGAGTACGTCACCGCAAATCGCTCCGCCCACTCATTTTATTGGCTACTTGCAAATTTGTCGAATTTTTATTGATGGAACGCGTCGTCTAATTTTTTACGAAAAACATCGAGAGAATATCGTTTCCCCTCTCACGGATACCCCGTAGCCTCAGAACGGACAGACGTACTGTACATACGTGTAAGTAAACCGATCATTTATGAAATTCGCTTAAATTAACTAATTATATATTTTTTCTTGCATTTTTGCTTTTATTTACTGCTTGTCAAAGATTAGATGTCCAAGAATTTAGATACGTCTATTCAGCGGCGTACGGTCCACGGAAGCGGGGGAACAGGGTTCGGAAGTAGTTAATTAAGACGTAATTTACCTGATTAAATACGTGTAGTTTTTCTTCAAAAACTACGTCTTTTCCCGTTCATTAACTACATGAAAACTACGTTATTAAACTATGTATTGATATTATGAATAATTTTCCTTTGTATCGGGTGTAATAGAGAGAATATGATGTAAATATTATATTTAAAGCCATATTTCTTCTGTTTTCTTAAATACATTATGTGTTTTTAAAGCTTCAACTTATTATAACCTCACCTCAAACCTTTGACATTTGAAAGTTACATACATAGATTACATAAACTACACCCTCTACATAAACTACATTAACTACATGCAATGTAGTTTATGTAGTTTTTAAAAGTAACATGTAGTTTTCCGAACCCTGCGGGGGAAGCACCGCTTCGCTAAACTTTTTAAAGATAAAAAAAATAAATAGTTAAACGTTAGTAATACTGTTATTTTATAACAAAAGATTAATTTAATTTTTTTAAATTATTTATATGAAACCTTACATAAACGTATCTAGTAAATTTAATTAGCCTTTTACTGCATGGATGCGCACCTGGGAATCGCCGCCGGTCGCCTATCCCTCCTTCATGTAGGTTTTATTGACCTCGAACGCAAACGACAAATTTAAGCCGGAAAATCGCACACAGTTGCTAGCCACGGCAGCGATCTTTCGGCCGCCTTCCTCGACTTTTAATTTATCGGGACGGGTTGGCTTGCGATTTTTCTAGGTAATATTATAATAAATTAAATCCAAAATTTTATGATGATGTTATAGACAAATTTGCAATGGCTGATAGACCTCAAAAATGACGAATGGACCTCAAATATAAATAGGTGCCTATCGCGCGTCAAGTGCTTCGGAAAATTAATTTAAAATATCGTATTTTAACTATTATAACTTTATGTGTTTTTGTTTGTTTAACAATTTTCGATAGAATTTTAATCGAACAATGGAATTGGACTGGGAATTTTCAAAGGTAAGGTTTTTAAGAAAATGTAAAAGTAATATGTCTCGAAATAGGATTTTTTTACCGATTCGCTTCCCCGCCTATAATTGTCACCGCACGCCGCTGCGTCTATTTGATTTATCTGCTTCAGTAGCGTATCGGATGTTGTGTTAATAAATAAATATTATAACTTATCTATTTTTAGAATTATATATTTTTATAACAATTTTAATAACTACCAACATTTATTCAGAACGTAAAATAAAACAACAAATTATTGAGCCTACCCCACGTCTGCCCTACATCATATAGTTTAACACTTTTAAATAAAATTAGAACGGCACTAATAAACCCTTTGAATAAGAAGACTAAGGAAGGAGCATAATGCTATCCATGTATTCATGCATGGTGGGCGGAAAAAGCTCTTTAGGGTGGGGATCCTTGACAGTTCTGTTGGCCGATTCATTTGACACATTTGAATTTGATTTGAAATTTTGTGGATTTGTCAGTCTTTACGGAGCCTATTTTATGTTATTTATTATTTATTCTACTACTGATAGTTGTATAAAGGTAGTAAATCTAGATGGAAATTGTGGCAGAACTTAAATTAACAGTGACATTATCGCGATTTATCAAAAAAGACTCTAAAATAGTTGGTTGTGTAGCGTGCGGTAGATCTCGGCAAAAATTGAGTGAAATAATGGAACAACTTTTCGCTAGTAAGTGACTATATAATATACATACGTGTAGTAAACCGATCATTTATGAAATTCACTTAAATTAACTAAATTATATATTTTTCTTGCATTTTAGCTTTTATTTACTACTTGTCAAAGATCAGATGTCAAAGAATTTTGATACGTTAATTTGACTTACCTGCTTCAGTAGCGTATCGGATGTTTGTGTTAATAAATACTTATTATAACTTATCTATTTTTATTAGAATTATATATTTTTATAACAATTTTAATAACTACCAACATTTATTCACAAAATAACAAATTATTGAGTCTACCCCACGTCTACCCTACATCATAGTTTTACATTTTTTAAATAAAATTAGAACGGCACTGATAAACCGGAATTTAAGTCGGCCATATTTGAGGCCCATCGCGGTGTACCTAGATTTTTGATATGCTCCTTCCTTAGTCTTCTTATTCAAAGAATAAACCGGAATTTAAGTCGGCCATTTTAGAGTCCCTTCGCGGTGGATCTAAGATTTTTGATATGCTCCTTCCTTAATCTTTTTATTCAAAAGTCAGTTGAAATCCTGAGATTTGATCAATTCACCTGGCTGTTGAAAACGGGCTTTTAGGACTGGTCCTGCTACAGAAACCGCTCCAGATTCGCCTTGTTTACTATCGGCGAAATTTATGAGCCTAGAACGACGTTGCGCAACATTCAAATACCTCGAAACGTTTGGCGCCAAGCCTGGTCTCCAGACTCCATCAATAATAATCGTAGTCTCTGAACTCTATTAAATGGTTTCGGAGCGAACATACATTATTTGTAGATAATCTTTTCAATTTATTATTAGTTGCGAACATTGAATAAAAAAAAATGAGAGGAGAGTATATAACATTCGATCGAGAAAAAAAAACAGTGTCAAAGTGGCCTTTGAAATGACTATACTCTACAAAAGTCTAATAACTTGTAGAGTGAATCCTCTACAGTTCATTAGTCACCTTGACCGGTACAGCGTTGCCAACTTTGTATATTTTCTTTTAATCAAAATATTTTAGCAAACAAAAATAAATTAATTATAAATATTTAAAGAGTTATTATTTACATCAACAAAACTCACCTTCTTAACAACACTTAAGGGACATAAAGGCCCATTACTACCCCGCTTTCCCGATTAAAATATTCTAATAAAGTTGCGATGAGTTTTTTACGGCTATTAAACTATCTTGTACACTTCGCACTAAAAGAGGTTCTAAAAAGAACAACGTTCGACAGCAAGGTCTGCTAGTAAACGTGTGTCAAAAACGAATGACAATGTCAGGAAATAAAGAAATAAATGCGGCAACTTGACATTTTTTACAGCAGAGCTACCACCTGAATCAAAAACAACAAATCAAAAACTTACCTCCGATAGGATCACTCTCGTCTACTTTGATCATTTTCAGAAAAAGCCTAAAAAATAAAAAGAAATGCATTATTATAAATTTAAATTACACACACTATCAGTAGTTGGATTCAATCAAATCAAATTACAAAAACTGATCCCAATTTTGGCAATTTTAAAGTATAAACAGAACTACTGTAAAATAATCTTTTTAATTACCTAATAATTGAATTATTTTGTCATTTTTCTACTAACCAACTTGCTGTCCGTTATAAAGGAAAACAAATATTTTGAAAGATGGAATTATTATTTTTTCGTCTAGATTATTTCAATGGCGCAGTCGGTAGGATTGTGTACTCTAGAGGATTTTTTCGAAAAACCATAATTCAAGAGTCAGATTAATGGATCTTCTACACTTTATTATTATTTCTAAAATATAGACATCTAAAAATCTATTACAACAAACATGGTATAGGGTATAGGTAAATCATTTTTACGGTTGTTATTATAATATCTTTTTATCTTTCCAGTAGATAGGGGTCGTCATTTTCTTGACAACTTCTTGATCTTGTCTTGATCTTGTCTTGATTTCAAGACAAGATCAAGACAAGAAATGATTTTTGGTTTTCAAGACAAGACAAGAAATTACTTCTGAATTCAAATAAATTCGAGGAAATGACAATGACAATTTTAATTTACAGCCAAATTGTATTTTCTGTCATTTTTTGGATGACTTATTCTGTCGAAATTTTCTTACTTGTTAACTGTTATTTTTATATATGTTAAAAAAAATAGGGAACCAAAAATGTTTTTAAATTAAGATCGTATGCTAGATTTTTTTTTTTTATTTTAAATTAGTCAGGTGACTAAAAAGTTATAATAAATTGATGCAAGTATATAGAAATCGTTGTTTGATCACCCTGTATATGACATACACGTAAAATTATTTGAGCCAAAGCGCTATTCGATTAATGACACCCACTTTACAAATATCAACTTTTTAAAAAAATCCGGCGTCCAGTTGGCTTGGAAATGACGATCGATAACACTCTATAGGTCCCTGGACGTTTTAAAATTCCTTCCAGTTATCACTTTTAAAGCGCATCATATATCCTGTTAAAGTTTTATGTATCTGTGCCAAGCATAGTAATATCACAGATTTCGATTTCATATTAAAATGTTTGATACCTGAGTATTTTCAAATGTATTTTTCTAAGTCTTAAAACATTATAAAGGTATAACATTTTTCCCTATAATAAATATTACACGTCTCAAAATTGTTTAACAGGTATAAAAATACAGGTAAGTAAAAAGGAAATCAATGAAATATAATTACCTTTATTGTAAAAAAATATTCCAATGATAAAAGTCCTTTAGATAACACGGTAAACAAAAAAAAAGAATTTCACTACGAACACACCTGAGACTAGATTAAATTTGGAAAAAATCGTAAATTGCTCATTTTTAGACGCGTACGATGTTGGTCGACGATGGTGGTACCAACGCGCGCTTTTACCGGCAATCCTGAACGCAAACTGAGCAGTACTGACGATATTTTGTATTTCGTGACGAGGTGTATATAATGTATTCCTGAGGATTTGGGCGTTTTCAGACTAAAATTAGAATTAGCCTCGTCGTATAAACTGCAGAGCGAGAACGACACGCCAGTAGATTAAATATTGATTTTTTAATCGATTATCGATCTATAATAATGAATAAACATTCGCTTTAGTGAGAGAAACAGTCTTTTTTTCAAACTTGCCTCCAAAATTCTGAAAAATATCTGGATATCACAACTTGTCCATATCTTTTAGTTTTTAAAATTTAAATCTCTATTTTTTAGGTCTGTTCTATGGATTCTGTCTGTTTGCGCCACAAATTACAAAAAGAAGAATACTTTTGACAGTTGACTGTCACCTAACTTCTTTGTTAACAAATTTAGTGAAGCAGCGAGCAGCGACTTCCTTTTAATAAAATAAAATTAAAGAAAAATAAGTTAATAAGTAGAAATAATAATGGTGAGTACGTAGCGTATTTATTAAATCTCGACGAACATAAAAAACATGAACAGTGTTTCGTATTTGTTCTGGAAGTGTGTTGAATTTATATTTAAAATATCAGGTGTGTCATTCTAGAAAACCGGCCTTGCACGTGCCTTTATTTTACCTAGATATTAAAGATTAGAATATTAAACTTAATAGAACATACCAATTTTGGGCATTCCTTAATATAATGAGTACATAGATATTTGTTGTTGGTCTTGTGGTGCAAAATTTTCTTCAAGTTTGTGGGGTAGGCCTTTGTATAGTATCTTTTTTTTCTTAGGTTTCACTTAATGCAGTGCGAATTTTAAGAGAAAATGCCGAAGAAGAAAAGGCGGAAATTGCTCGGTTGAGCAGTTTTGTAGGAGCCATTGCAATTGGGGATTTAGTTAAAAGCACTTTGGGACCTAAAGGTAGATTTGTTTACTACTTTTGCCAGATTTTATTTTATAGTCATACTAATTAGGTATGGATAAAATTTTGGTATCCAGCGGTCGTAATGCCGGTTCTGTAGAAGTAACAAACGATGGAGCAACTATATTAAAGTCTGTCGGTATAGATAATCCTGCTGCAAAAGTACTTGTCGATATGTCTAAAGTTCAAGACGATGAAGTTGGTGATGGAACAACTTCAGTCACTGTTTTGGGTAAGATTTATTAAATTATATCTCATTGAATAGGTTTATATATTTTAATTTTAGCTTCTGAACTACTTAGAGAAGCTGAAAAGTTGATTGACCAAAAATTACATCCTCAGATAATAATAGCTGGTTGGAGAAAGGCTGTTGACATTGCCCGTAAAGCTTTAACAGATGCATCACAGGTAAAAAAGTTGTTTATTGTTAATTGTTTTTAATTTTTTTTATTTCAATAGGATAATAGTGCAAATTCAGACACTTTCCGTGAGGATTTGTTGAATATTGCCCGTACAACTCTTAGTTCAAAAATTTTGTCTCAGCATAAGGAACATTTTGCAAAACTAGCAGTCGATGCTGTATTAAGACTGAAAGGATCTGGTAATTTACAAGTAGGTTTTTCCATTTATTTATATCTCTCAAGTCTGTACATATTGCCACATTACTTTTAGGCTATACAAATTATTAAGAAGTCTGGCGGAACTCTGGAAGAATCCTTTCTGGAAGAGGGATTTTTGTTAGACAAGAAACCAGGTGTCCACCAACCGGGTAGGGTTGAAAATGCTAAAATTCTAATTGCAAACACTCCCATGGACACAGATAAAATAAAAGTTTTTGGATCAACAATCAAAGTAGACTCTATGGCAAAAATTGCTGAATTGGAATCAGCCGAAAAAGAAAAAATGAAGGACAAAGTAGCCAAAATCCTGAAACATAATTGTACTGTGTTCATTAATCGCCAACTGATTTACAATTATCCAGAACAACTCTTTGCTGATGCCGGAGTGATGGCCATTGAGCATGCTGATTTTGATGGAATTGAAAGGTATATGTTTGCATTCAAGAATGAAAATAGTTATAATTTGTTTTTCTTCCAGGTTAGCTTTAGTTACTGGAGGTGAAATAGTCTCGACTTTTGATCAGCCAGAAAGTGTCAAACTTGGAACTTGCGATCTTATTGAACAAATTATGATTGGAGAAGACACATTACTTAGATTTAGTGGGGTTGCTTTAGGAGAAGCTTGCTCAATTGGTTTGTGTGCAAGTAAAATAAAATTTTTAACTTACTTAAAAAAATGTTTGTAGTTATTCGGGGTGCAACACAACAAATTATTGAAGAGGCAGATCGTTCCCTGCATGATGCATTGTGTGTTTTGGCTGCTACAGTCAAGGAAAGCCGCATTGTGTATGGAGGAGGTTGCAGTGAGACACTGATGGCGGTAGCTGTGAGTAAAGCTGCACTGAGTACAGCAGGAAAAGAAGCAGTTGCTATGGAAGCCTTTGCTAGGTTTGTTGTTATCACACATACCATCATGCGAAGTCATATTAAAGATAATTTATTTCAGAGCTTTGCTGCAACTACCCACAATTATTGCTGACAATGCTGGTTATGATTCAGCTCAGCTTGTAACTGAACTTAGAGCAGCCCATACTAGTGGTAAGTAAAGATAAAGTTTTTAAAAATAAAATGTAACTTGACTTTTGACATAAAATTAAAATCATTATAAAAACGATATTCAAATTTAAGTATAGAACATCTTATCTATGTAAGCCAATTTGGAGCAAATAACCGTTGGTTATGATTGACAGATAAACAATGTTTTAAACGTCAGTTGTATAGAGTTGTGTATGCTTCCCGTTGACAACTGACGTTTAAAGCATTGTTTATCTGTCAACCATAACCAACGGTTGTTCGCTCGAAATTGGCTATAATGGGTTCAAAATTTCATGTAGATTCTAAAAGGTATAAAATATATAGAGGGTTCTATTTAAAATAAGCAAATTAATACAAATTTTTGGTTGAAGTGCTAGAAAATGAAAAATATTTTAAAATGGAAGTACACTTTAAAATAGAGATTTGTACCTAATTTAGGTAAGAATATTTGTTTCAGAATTGTCATTTAGAATTGCTTTACCTTTAATACCTTTTTTTTACCTTTAATGATTATTACCAAATGATACTATTGTCACAATTAACTTTGTTTTAATTCCATGTTTTTTTTCAACATCATTAAACAGACAGACCGTTTTTTTTTGTCAGTTGCTCCCTCCATGGTCTTGACAAAAAACTCATCTAAAATTCCCATTAGTTTTCTAGATTTAAAAAACTAAATTATGTAAAAAAACATTTGTTACATGCAAAAAACTATTTTTTCAACCTGTAAGAAATTATTTGTACACGTAAAAAATTTTGCTACACGCCTAAAAACTATTTCTGCCTGTAAAAACTATTTATTACACGTAAAAAACTATTTTTCCGCGTAAAAATATTTCTTCAAATGTAATTCTCAATTTTGGGGTCTTATTTTATGTAAATTTTTTCTTTTTTTTTTCTTAAGGTCAATTCACAATGGGCTTGAACATGGACAAAGGCGAAATCGGTGACATGCGCACATTAGGCATCACCGAATCCTTCGCAGTCAAAAGACAGGTCCTGGTTTCGGCTTCGGAGGCTGCAGAGATGATTCTCAGGGTCGACAACATCATCAGGGCAGCGCCAAGGAAGCGCGTCGAAGACAGGGGACACTGTTAAAACCTTCTAATTTCTTTTTAGGTGATAATAATCTTTGGCCCGTTTTTTTTTTCATTACCTGAGCAAAAGTTCTCCGGTATTTTATCAAACCTACAAAGAAAGGTATTGAAAGTATTTTAACAGCGTACTTTTGCTCTTGCATAGCTTTGATATTTTTACATGTTCACACGAAAAATCAAACTTCATATTAACATAATGTTAACATTTATTAATAAATGATACTTCGAAACTTATTAGTTTGTTTTTCTTAATATACAATACCTTAAGTAATCTCTAAAATAAAATATTTGACAAATACTTGTCTAAAGTTCCTCCTACACATGATATTTTACCTATCGGTTAAGACGGGGTGCCGTCTAGAGAGCTGTCGGCAATTCTATAGTTGATCTTCCGTCTTAAAGGGGTTCTACACCATTTGATCTGCATGCAAGATAATTTCTTCAGTCTATAGCATAGTACAGCTCCCGCCAAATCTATGGTCTGTGCAGTATAAATGAAATATATTTGTAATAAAACGATTCAGAATATATTCTTTAATTTTACATTAATCAATTCTTATAAATTTCAAGAACATCCTGTATTAAGCTTAAGTACTAAGTACACATAATGTAATAAAAACAATTTATATTACAAACATACCATTTTAATTCTATATGAAATCATTCTTCAAAAAGTAATCTACCACTAAACTTATATAATATTATCTACCTAAGTGATGATGCTTAAATATTATGGCAACATATAAGATTAGTCTCAGTAAACTTTGCCGAAACTTGTAAATCCTTAAAACTATATTAAATATATTTTTTGGAAATTTAATGCTAACAGATCATATAAAATTTTATATTTTTCAAAATTAATGAACTGCACAACAAGCTACTAATAAACGATCACTAAGTTAAACAAATAAATCAAGAACTAAAGACTGAAATATAAAAAAGTTACAATGGTATAGTCAAAAAAATGACAGAAAATACAATTAAGCTGTGAAGCACAATGACAGGCGTTCTGTCATGTATTCACTCTTTGAACCAACTTAAAGTTGTTATCTAATATGAGCAGAACATTAAATTACAGCTACACTCAGACAATTCTAACCTACCTTAGTATAACTAATAATTCTAGAGTTAAAAAAACCAATCTAAATGAACTTTGGGTCCCACTGAAATCAACTATCGGTACTATTCACTGTCACTAGATAAAGTACTTTCTGACACTTCACTGTTGTCACTTTCCATATATCAGAGTGCTTTTCTGTGGTACTCTGGCGTAGCATTTCCATAGTCTTGCAAATTAAACAATTGGGCGCTGTTTTTGATTAAATATTTAAAGAAATCCTGAACATTCTGTATAAGTATTTGAATACTGCGTTCATCTAGAGGTGTATAGGCCAACATAGATCCTAGTCTAATAAAAAAATACACTGAAAAAAATTATTATTTAAAAAGAATATTACCTACCTAACAAAAAGTCTTAACAAGTGAACTGCTCCGTATATTTCAGACATTGACTTTTCTGGATATTCTAGAAGAATGTCTGCATACTGAGGTCTTTCAAATTTGTATAAAAGTTGAGTGCCCAAAGTCACATTAAAATATTCTTTTATTCCTTTAAAAACAACACATATTTTAATCATTTAACAACACCTGATAATACGTTTACCTCTAACTGTTTCGATTGAAGCTCCTTCTTTACTGGTGGTGTTTGATTTTATCGATTTCTTATAATTAAGATAATTTTCTAAAATTTGGTCCACTGTAACTTTAGCTGGAAGATTTACTAACTTCTTTTGACGAGTTATTAAATCCCAGTCATCAACTAACCAGGGCTTAAGCTCATCAGGAATTTTTATTCGAATTTCAACTTTACTCTGAAATTGTTCTTCTGACTCTACTGTTGAATCTAATTTCCCTAAATATAATTCATGTGCATTGTTCAAATTAAATATATTAACTTAATATTTACCTCTCTTTTTACGGGGTATATCAGAACTAGATTCTTGACCACTGGAAGGTGTAGCAGCTTCTCTTTTAAGACCTTTGCCACCTTTTGCAATATCTGATATTGGTGTGCTTGCCCGGGAATCTGAATCTTTCACAGATTCTGTTTTACTAACTATTCCAGATGATTTTTTGGCAGACTTTTTCTGTTTAGATGGTTGGGCAGCATGTGCTTTCTGTACTTCTTTCTGGCGTGCGACATTTGCCTCATTGTACTTGAGAACTCGACTTTCAGGGACCCATTCATCCCAACTACAAAGTAAAAAAGAGAAATTTAGAATTATAGCATGATAGTAAAATTGATATGGAATTACTTTTTATTCCAACCGGCATAGTGAATAAAGTATTTAACTTGTTTTTCTTTGGTTATGGTGCTTTTGAGGCACTTTGCCTCGTAAATAAGGGGGCCGTGGAAGCACAACACTTTTTCACCTGAAACCGAAATTTAATTTATACTTTACTGTCCAAAACCTAAAATAATAGTTTTACCTTCTTGAAATTTAAATTTTGGGGGCATTTTAAGAAAAGCCGTACAAGCCTTGAAAAGAATTTGTTTTACAATTAAAATTTGTAATTTATTTAATTGTTAGTAAACTTGAGCGAAGTTAGATACGGAATATGAACAAATTCTTCTTTTCTTTTTTAGAATGGCTCAGCATCATACAAGTCTAGCCTATTAATGACAGGGTTGAGCATTAAAATATAGTTTTTTACGTAAAAATAGCATAGTTTTTGACGTTGTTTGTTTTTTTTACCAAATTGTAAAGCTTTTTTAAAAACACGTTATCCTGCTGTTATTTGATAAATGATGACTACCTGTAGCCTGTAGGTATTCTTTACAGAACAGTTTAAAATAAACTAATGTATATTTCATAATTCATAATTGTTCGATCACTTTTATTGATAATATAAATTTTGTATTTTATGTAAAAATCAATTTTGAAAAAAGCTTGAAATAATCGTGTTGGCAAATAAAAATAATTAACTTCCTCTTTTAGTATTGTTTACGTTTTTTACATATATTTTACGCCAAACCGTTAAAAAGGAAAAATTCGCCTAAATGTCCATCCCTGACTAAAGAAATTGAAAATTGACAGATTTTTGTCATCCCAAATGATTTCTTTGGATTTCTTCCCGATCAACCACCAAAGTCAAACGATAAACGATGTTAGACCTTTGTTAGACGTGTGTTAGACGATGGGAGAATATGGACGGGTAAACGTCTGGAAACTCCAACTCTGACCTCTGACTCCTCTGACACGCTGATGTTTCATGGCACTCGCCGACAAATTTACCGAGGACCGCAGTTCGACATCCACGAAATCAAAATGGGGTCCGTTCATATTAGTCCTTGCTGTAAGGAGGTAAAGGGGATGTTGACTTTACTTTTGAAATAGATTATGTAAGCATATACTGTGAGTATATAGTATAGGCTGATCTAAAAACTTTGTTGTCCCGCTTGTTCCTATGGCTTGTTCCATTTATGAATCATTTTATGAATGATTCGCAAGTGCTCGCAAGTTGGTAGGCCATTGTATGACTGAGGGCTGCGATTCGAATTCCACGTAATCAAAGTAGGCCCAAAAGGTTCCGTTCAGAGCAGCAAATTCTCTGGCAAAATAGAACAAAAAGATATTTTTTACTGCCATCTTATGACAAATTTTAATACTGTCATCCTTTGGGAATGTGTCAGTGAATAGATTTCTATGTTTTTCAGTTTTTCATATTTTACAATCTAGAGTCTAGATTATTCGATAGTGATTCGATAATTACACAACAATACGATTTCAATTATTTTATTAATACATTTCACGTTGGAAAACAACGATTACTATACAGTTATTTTTGTCAAGTCATAGTTGCCGGTCGTTGAAAATCCTAACAAAATGGTTAAAGCAGTCGCCGTTTTAAAAAGCGAAACCGTAAACGGAACAATCTACTTTTCACAGGTAAAATATAGAAAATCATGCATTTTCTTTTTAACTCCTTCGATTTCTTACAGGAAGGTAGCGGGCCAGTTCAAGTCAACGGCCAATTGAACGGCTTGAAACAAGGACTTCACGGATTTCATATCCACGAATTCGGCGACAACACCAACGGATGCATCTCCGCAGGACCCCATTTTAACCCATCGAATAAGGAACACGGTGCCCCCGGTGACGCAGAAAGGCACGTCGGCGATCTAGGTAACGTGGAAGCCGATGACAAAGGCGTTGCTAAAGTAGCAATAACCGACAAACAGATATCTCTAAACGGGGCAAATAGCATTATTGGACGTACCGTAGTAGTACATGCCGATCAAGATGACTTGGGTAAGGGTGGTCATGAACTGAGCAAATCCACTGGAAATGCTGGAGGTAGGTTGGCTTGTGCAGTTATTGGATTGGCCCAACCCAATTAACAAAGTTACAAGGGAACAATAAAGCACCGTATAATTGTATAGAAGTAATACATTTATCCTTTAGTTTCCATTAAAAATGGTTATTGGGGTTTTTTTGTTCATTCCAGTTGTATTTTGATATAATTTGTTCTTTTTTTTTGTTAATAATGAACTGAATAGTGTTTAAAAGTGAAATATATAACCTTCAAGGAAGAAAAGTGTTATTTTTTACCTATGTTGTATATAGTCTGTCCAATGAGTGGAAAGATTTTGACAATATATCTCATTTACCTGTGAATTAAAGTAACAGATGCAACTGTCACTGTAATGGATCCTCTGATTGGACAGACTATATACTGATAATAGTGATAATGTATGTTGAAGATTGTTTTGAATTTTAAAACTTGAAAATTTTCCGCTATTAATAAAACAATATGCGCATAATTGTTTTATTAATAATTTTATTTACAATTTTATTCAAATATTTCAACTGGAGATTTTAAAGCGTCAGTATGAGAAAAGAATATAAGTTGGTATATTAATACACAAAATTTCTAATATTACAGTTTATTTTACATAGAATTTAAATTGAACATCTTTATTTAACAATACAATCAATATCAACATCTTATTTATTATGAGAAGATAAAAATAATTGAGCAATGCTTATTCGCATATAAATTTATAAATGTCTAAATAAAAAAATAGATCACAATTGTTCACAAGAGATTGGAATGTGCTGTTATAAAAATTTAAGTACAATATTAAAAAAAATTACACTACAACAAACTATATATCACAAAACAATTTACTTTTTGTAATTGACTTTATTTTATTATAAAATAAAAAGAACAAACCTTTTTAAGAAAGTACTTTTTTTACTTTTATGCTATCTGTGGCTGAGTTAAAATTAAATAACAAACATGATAATGAAAACAGATAAAAACATGAGATTTTCAATTAAATTGTGCTGTGTATTATTTTTAAGTAGAGTACCAGATAATTACTATCATCAGTTATAAATATAACAGAAGCTTTTAGATAAATTTTGAAATATCAATTCCATTCAATAACAAGTTTAAGACACATTTAATGCACAAGGTACGTATATTTATATATACAGAGTGTTCTTAAAAGTGATTTACTGCATACAGATATAAATTATTTATTCTGTATACCTACTAATGCTTAATAATACCACAGTCAAAATAGACATTTCAAGTAAACAATAATTTGCAGAGAGCTGAAAATTGGTACAGGTCTTAAATACACTATTATAAATGATATCTGAAAAATCCCCACCCCTCCCACGTCTGCTAAAAAAATTATTCAAGGTCAAAAGTCTCTGGTCAAAAGAAATTTAATGGTCTACAACACTTGTTTAAGATACTTTTGCGATAGCGCTTACCGTTTAGGAGAAAAAAGCAAAAACATATTTTTTTTTCTTTTGACCTTGAAAATTTTTTTTGGCAGACGTGGGAGGGGTGGGGATTTTTCAGATATCCTTTATAATAGTGTATTTAAGACCTGTACCAATTTTCAGCTCTATGTGAATTATTTTTATTTAACCCCCTTTTTTTGTTTATTCTGACTGGGGTATAATTAATGATTCTAAAACATAACATTAAACATGTTAGGATTGTTTCTAAAAAATCGAAAACCTATAATATTCCAATACAAAAATTTGAATAAAATATTGACCTTGGTATAATCTATCATTATTGGAAACTTATTTATTGGATTACATTTAAAAAAAATAAAAACGTATCGAATATTATAATGTATGTCCCTAAGAAATTTATAATTCAATCTTTTATATTTTAAAATTTGTACGGATTTTTAGAATACTTACATTAAAAAAATTCGATTTTTAAAAGTATGTAAACAGCATAATAAATTGACATATAGTATACAATATACAAGATAAGACAAAACACTGAACATTTTTGAACAATATTTGTGTCTATTAGAAGACTTATAAGATCACTGAAAAATAATTATATATTTTGTGTATTTTTAATACATTGATAAGATAAATTTGTATGTTTAAAGGTGCGTTCAGACCAGCTGCGCCAAATATTTTTTAACATGAGCTTTTGAAGTGTATTTTTTTAGCGAGCACAAAAGTATACATACATATGTTAAAAAAACGATTTGTGCGGCGCAGCTGGTGTGAACGCACCTTAACATAATATAGATTATATTTTTGTAACATCTCCAATTACGAATGGAATAAATTGTGCAAATTTGGCACAACTGCTTGCCCATATTGTATATAACTAGGAATGGAAGAAATAAACAAGCAAATCAAGCACCCAAGGAATTAAAGCAATATTAAGCAAATATAAAACTATAAACATATTAAACCCCCTTATAAACTATATAGGTTTAAGATTCTTATTAAATGTATATTCAGCCTTTTTCTTTAATATAATTATAAACAGTTCCTCGATTGACTTAAAATAACGAAAGGGGGATCTTAGTAAGTAATCTTTTAGGAAGCTAGCGACGGAGGAAAAACTTTCATCTTGACATAATCATCGATAATTTCTTTTATTTTTTCTGCGGTAGGTCTGGGAACATTCAACTGAAAACCCAGATTTCTTAACTTACTACCGTCCAAATTCAAATGTTTACTTTGCAGCAGAATAGAGTCCATATGAGGTGTCAATGGGGTATTCTCGATGTGATCTCTACGACAAGCCTCTGCCCATGGTGCCTGAAAAGCCACCCAATCATTATATAGGCTAAAACTTAAAAAATATACTCACCAAGTGTCTGTCGTTGGCTTCTTCGGCTGCTTCTTCAATATCTATACAGGATGAAACTATATTTCCAAGGTATCTTACATTGATATTAAAAATATCTGCCAAAATGTCGGTAATTAGTTCCTGTGTGGTCGAACCATCATCCACTAAGTTGTATACCTTCAGAAAAAAAATAAATAAAACAGTGACTGAAGCACAGTAAGAATACTATACCTTTCTCACAGTATCTTCTCTTTGATTCAAAAACATTATTGCTCTACAGACATCTTCCACATGCACCGTGTTTATTTTTAGATACTCGTTCCATAGCAACTGCATGGGCTTCTTCAATTCTTTATAAATTGCAGCCGCTAAGATACGAGGCATTAAATTGTTTTTATCTCCAATACCATAAACAACAGGCAATCTGATAATTGTATAATGCAGATGTGGTATAGACTTAATTTCTTTTTCTACCTAATAGAAAAGATATATTTATTGACTTAAATATGAAATAGTTTCGAAGCTTACTTGAGCTTTCCATTTTCCCATAAATCCCCAAGGTTGAATATCGTCCTTTTCTTTATGGGGATGTTTCTCAGATGAATTCATGTTTCCTGAAGATAATTCTATGTATCTCCCTACATTCTTAATGGAAAGACAGGTTAGTAATAGCAGAAAAGTATTAAAATAAAAATATATACCTGCAAAGCTGCTTGTTTAGCACAATTCGTACTTAATTTTAAGATCCCTTCATTATACACAGGATCTGTCTGGCCAACTCTAGTTTCTGCTGCACAGTTAACCACTAAATCCCAAGTGGAACCATCAGGAAGACTAAACGCATTTTTGCAAGACTCTTAAAAAATTGTTAGTACTTCATCATACTAATATTCATTCAAAAACATACCTGCATTAATCAAATTAGCACTTTTAAAAGTAACTCTATTATCTTTAAAATGATGGGCATGATCCTCATTCAACCAGGCAACTTGAGGAGGGATTTTATCAACAACGGTAATCTTTTCAACCAAATCATTATCTAGGAGATGTGATACAAGATTTCTACCGATAAAACCGCAACCTAATAAAGTTTCGTTCAAAAAGTCTCTCAAAAAATTTTCTTCGGATACTCACCGCCTAGTATAAGAACAGATAACTTTGTCATTTTGTTCTATCCCTTATTAACTTATTCCTTAATTATTATTTATATAATTATTTATAAGGTATTTAGTAATTTTGTTTGCTTTAGTTTTAAACAAAGCCGGCACGAATCACAGGATAGAGCAAAGGGGCAACGAACTTCTTATCACACGGCAAGCAAATCAAATAAAAACAAAAAAAAAAACAATGAAAAATCTTGCGTCAGATAAATGTCAGATCTTGTCTTGTCATTTTTTATTCGGCTGTGGTCTGTGGTGTCTTTCAAAGGTTCGGATCAAGGTTCGGATCCATAGTTCGGATGACCGCAGTCCGCAGGCTCGATATAACCATAGATTATTAAATAGTTTATTTCGCCTAATAGGGTTGGTGTTGCTATGTGTGATAAATGAATTTGTAATTCCCAAATAGGTATTTGTTGTTACTTTTTATGTTGTTTATATTTATTATTTTATATTTACTATTTCTTAAGGTTATATCAATTTGTAGAAATGACAAAAATAACTGAATGTTTAGCGAATAGTTCTGATGATTGCGATGATCTGATGATGAAGAATTTTTCTAAGAGAATGTTAAAAACCCAGATGTTCATTGGAAATTTCGTGGAAAAACGATTTGTGGAACCTCTAAACTCTTACAGAGACGTAGTGAAAATTGACGCCGATGAGACAGACTTTATTGAAAATGTGTTAGCAGTTAAGAAGAAAGTTAAACAAGAACTCCGAGCTAATGTATTGAAAAACCCTGTTTGGGTTGGAATTACAGATCCTTCTATGATTGGTGCTCCTGTTGGTTATAACTTGTGGGTAATATTACCTGTTGAGGTGTTTGGCACATATTGGTTTAAAGTAAAAACAGTGGAGTTTCTACAAAATGAAGTAAGACTTAAACTGGAGGTAGTGAGATCTTTAAAGAGTGAAAAGTCATATTCAGAGGCAGTAGTGAACAAAGAGACTATAGACTTAAAATCGTATCTTGAAAACATACCTCAGGTTTTAAAAAATAACTTTCTTCAGTTTTGTAACAACCACGTGACTGTAAGCAATGTGAAGGAAACTATAACTTTTATTTTTGTTCTTCTTGGAACACTTCTTGCTGGAGGTATTAATTTAATTCATTACTTAATGGAATATTTTCTTAAACTCCTAAGGGAGATATCATCTCTTATTAAAGTTTCTACACCAATATTTATTACTTTTATAAATTTAATTGGAAAGACTGTATACGGATTGTATGCACTGATAGCAAGTTTATGGCATGGTAGACGTACTCAACAACCAATATACAATGCTTATTACAGTGTGGATCCAAATTCTATAGCATTTCAAAACTCATATGGAAGATCTAACTACTTAAATAATAATAGAGCATATAGAGCATTACCCTATGGATCTGCAAGAATAACACCTTTAGATGATTAAGTCAGGATTAAATGTAATTATATTTAATAGAATATAAAGGAAATGGGTTTATTATAAATTTATTTCCTAACATTGTTTTATTTATAACTTAGTTTCTTTTTAATATAGGTGATAAACTACTAGTGATGGGACTAATTATAAGATTAAGTTTGTATGATAATGTTAATATAAAGTTGTTAAGATATAAAACAGTTTTTAGTTCCTCACAAAATATAATGACCACCAGCCAGGCAGCCACATCACATACCACATGAAAAAAATTATGGATAAATTTGAAATTGTAAAATCTGTGTAAAACAAAGTAGGTACGATAGAGAAATTAATTTATATGCTCTATAGTAGGCACATAAAACCTATAATTAGGGTTGGGACAAAGAATAGTTTTAGAGTACATTTGAACTAATGATATACACACGTTAGAGATCTATTGTTAACTTGATCATATATAATATATGATCTAATTAATATATTTTACTATTTAATACTTTTTATATAGTGTCGGTATTGGTGTTTAGTGTTTATTTTTATTTTATTTTTACCCTGTTGTGACTATAAAAGGAACGGGTAATAGTTTCAATGTGATTTAAATAATATAAAATATTCGACTTTATAATTTATAATCATATTATCATATTAACCAGCAGTAAAAGAAACGTGTGCATATGTTCAAGGTCATAGGTAAAAGACAAGGAAGTATTTTAAAAAGTGAAGTAGTGATTTCAAACAAAAGGCGTTTAAACAGGAAAGTTTAATATAAAAACAGACTGTGATACAAGTATTTTATGGTATTCATTTTAAATAACAGCTACACAATGTCCAATAAGTTTGAAACGTATGTATTAACTTCCACATTTTTCTATTGTTTATATTTAGAGGTCCATATATTGGAATAGTTAAGAAAAGTTCCAAATTTTCTTCATAAAATATATTGAATTTGTAGACTTGTTTTGTTTCATTACTTTGTATAAGTAAGTTTTATTTCTCGGGGAAAATAGTTTAGAAAGATAAAAGATTAGTCAGTGATTTTTATATAATAAAGCAGTAATTGGTATATTGCTGCAATTACAACTACAACTTGCTAAATTTATTATTAGTTGGTGCTAAAATGCTTATATATATAATACCTATTTAGTAACAGTTTTCATAAAGTCACTTTTTAGTTTAAAATATCACCATGAGGAAGGTTCAGACAATGAAGATGAGATTGGTCCAAATATTACCGATTTGGGTCCCATTGACTATCCTCCTGGAGAACATAGGCTACAACATGCCTATTGCCTTTGGTTTTCAAAAAGACCATCTCAGATACAAGGTGGTTTTTTTCAATACCTTATTTTTAGTTTATACTGAGTAGAAGTAATAATTTTAGGGTCTCAAAATTACAGTCAAGCCTTAAGGTTGATTGGTCAAGTAGGGACAGTGGAACAGTGGTGGGCACTATATTCACATATTGTTAGAATAATTGAAATACCTGCACATAGAGACCTACATCTTTTCAAAAAAGGAATAAAACCTATGTGGGAAGATGTAGCCAATAAAAAAGGTGGAAAATGGGTATTTTTATAAAAAAAGAAAATACTTGTGATATCTATAGAGTGACATTTTTAAGGTAATAAGATTAAAGAAGGAACAAGCAGGTAGAGCATGGGAAAATTTATGTATGGCTATGTTAGGAGAGCAATTTATGGTATGTCATATTAAAATATTTTCCTTATTTAGAGAAAATTAGAACAAACATATATTTAGGCTGGGAACGAGATTTGTGGAGTAGTAGTTTCAACAAGGTATCAAGAATACTTATTAAGTGTTTGGCATAGGAATGCTTCTGATCAACCTATGATTGCGAAAATCAGAGATGCGTTAAAACGGTTGTTAAATATACCATCCAGTGCCACAATGGAATATAAAATTCACAGTGACTGCCTCAAATACGGGTAGAAATAAATAATATTTTGTCTTATATAAAATTAATACTTTTTACAATTTTTCTAGGGCATCCAAACAAAATAACATTGTAAAAAGTTGACTTGCCAGGCATTCTTAGTTTCATTTAAAAAGTATTTATTTCAGGACTTGATGACAATTTAAGTGTAAAATGTAATCTGGTAATAAAATGTAAACATATATATAAATTCAATATATTTGTTAAAACGTTTAATCCATTTTTATTTTAATTTTAAAAATGTATTTCTGTAACCATCTTAAGTAGTTGAGGAATCACTGTCACTTTCACTGGAACTACTACTATCTGAAGAAGAAGAGCTACTGGAACTTGAAACAGAAGAGCTATCACTTTCATCGTTTTTGTTTAGTTTCTTCTTGATTTTCTGCTTGGTAATATTTAGATTTTGTGATCCTAGCTTCTCCTCTTCCTCTTTAGCCTTTATGCGTTTTTTTAAGATGTGACTTCTTGATGATCTGTGCAAGTATTTTCTTTTACCTTTACACTCGTATGACCAGTGTCCATATTCCAGACATTTCTGACATCTTACCCCTTGTGGAGGATAACTTGATTGCTTCCTAAGCCAAAGAATTATTTATACTGCTAATTTAATAACCAATATTACTACTTACTTTTTGCTTAAAGATGTTGAAGATTCTCCACCGACAGTCATATTTTCAGGATTTTACACATATATTTAAAGATATGCACAAATACAGCTTCCCCAATACTCAAATTTAAGCCCTAGAGACTAGATGTAGGTATCTAAACAATAGTTGAATAACAAGATTTTACTTGTAAACTAATGTAGATATTACTTTGAATGAATTAGTGTATCTTGGTTAGAGATAACAAATTAATAAGAATCGTCTCAGTTTCGTTGCCCGACAGCAATAAAAATGTGAATAAAAATAAAAAAGAAACGAGGCAGCCACTTCCTATTTTTGCAATCAAAATCAAAAATTGACAAAGAACAAAAACAATTTTCAGATAGACACAGATTAAATATGATAGTTTAAGATTTACGGTCTCAACTGCCAGGACTATACGGCAGATATTATTAAAACTCTTTTTCTTCTTGATTAGTTTTTTCGTCTCAGCTGCCAGAACTATTCGGCCATTGTTCTAGTTGTTGTTCTAAGGCATGTCGATGAGATACGTGATCATCGTAAAAAAAGAAGAATAATGGACCTAGGCAACCAGTAAATCACACTTTATTGTTTAGCACTCTGATTTTTGATAAAGTTTTAATTTTAATATTAACTTATTTGTACGAAAACACACACTTTTATAGCCCAATAAAATATGAAACTATATAATGGCACATCAATCATCATTGAACCAGTACTTTTATTATAATTAATATAATTTAAATATCTCACCTACTCATTTAGAGATAAGAAATACAAGGGAAATACTAACGTATATTAGTATATAGTCATTATTAAAAATGTACGAAAGAAAAAAATTAGATGTATCGAAACTAAAACACTTAGTTTTCGTTTTGTTTTATGGACATTTGCAAGGACTTTATATATTCCTTTGGTACTTTGACGATTTCAGTATACTAGGAAACGATCCAAATAAAAACGCATATCTGACCTTAATAGAATGTTATAAAAGTTATTTACTAATAGGTGGAACATTGTAAGTACCTGAAAATCTATATTGATATATCTACGTAATATAATAATACATTTCATTTATATTGAATAAAGTATAGGGTATATCACATAATACAAATAGATAAGAAAAAGCGCGTATATATTATACCTACTTTTATTTATAGCGTTAACAGGTTTTTAACAATTATTCAAACATCGAACTCAAACTGCCTAATTAAAAGGCAATTATAAAACTACCAGGCCTATAAAAAGTACGGTGATGGGTAAATTATAATAAAAAAGCGGAAACCACTTTCTCTTAACGTCATATAGTTTGGCTATTCGGTTACTTTTATAAATGTTTCAGTTTTAAAATAATATTAAAATGTCTAGAACTCTGGTTGTAGTAGGAAATTTAGCACTTTCAATACATTTTATTTATTCTCTTATTTACTCATCGCAATTAAAATATACCTTAGATCCTGTTAATATTCCTAAAGAATTTAAAATATTGTCCAAAAACGGTCCATTTTTTTTAACTGTATGGAATTTTGTAAGTATGTCAAGACGAACTATAATACCCATAATACTAATGAATTGATATAGGATGCCTAATATTTGATATTTATTTTTAATAATTAGTTTATTATTAATTTACAGATTTTACAAATAATTTTCCTGTTCGTGGTAATTATAGATGAATTGTGCAATGTAGTCAAAGATGTAGTCAGCGTTCCTAAAATACAACACAAGATCCAGAGAATCAGACAATATATGTTTTTATCTTTGATATTCCCGTGTTCTCTCATAGTAATGACAATTTTTTGGGGTTTGTATGCTGTAGACAGAGAACTGATTTTTCCAAAAATAATAGGTAATAAAAGAACTCACAAAAAGTGGCCAAAAATTATTTTAAATGCCAGTGTTAGAATATAGTCACACTAAATGAGGATGAAAACATTATTTTATGAAATAATTTTGGCCATTAACGTATACCGGGTGTTTCAAATTCGACTTTCATCATTGGGATCTCAGAAAAAGATTCAGGATGGCCCGCAAATTTCAGTAAAGGTGCGTGTCTTAAGTCTTTGGCCGAAATATGACGGAAAAATCAGTGGTCAAAGACAATTTTTAAGCTTTATCTTTTGCGATTGTAATAATTTTTTCTTAGTACTAGAATCGACAAATAATGAAACATTGTCAAATGATTTGACAATAATGGGAGTAGAATTTGAAACCCCTTGTATACCAACAAAGAATTATAATTAGTATTCCTTAAAACTAATAAAATGATTGATATTACTAGATACTTTTTATCCAAAATGGTTAAACCATACCATGCACACAATTATAGCAGTTCCTCTAGTACTAGAATTGGTGTTCCAAAGGTCTAAAAGAAACTACAGGGTGTCCAGATCATTTGCTTTGGCTACTTTAACGATCTTTTTAGCGTTATATCAAACTCTGTAAGTGGTATTATTTTTGAAAGTAACATAGTACATTTCTCTCATAATTATATCGTTTATTTTCAGGAATCTCTCAATATATCTGGTCCAAAACGTTTGGCTGTATCCTATATATCAAACTTTAGACTGGACAGGCCGACTAATATTTATATTGCTCGTTTTTGGACTTGCCGTTGGATTTCAACAAACTGGGTTTGCGTTGTTGAATAATGAAAAAAGCAAAGGAAGAAATAAAAAAAATTAAATAATATATCGTTCTTATATTAAAGTTCACATTTGTACAAACATATAAAACTTAAAATTAAACTTATTATTATTAAAATTTGCGTCTTTTCAGTATGTCTGGTTTCCAGTTGATGGGGTGTGTTTCTTCAGTCGCCGTTTCATCTTCTTTGTATATTTTAATTGTTTTGTCAGCCTCGGTAGTGATGAGCCTCGATCCGGAATTATCAAATACCATGGAAAAAATCCCAGCTTCGCTATCCATCGAACCGGGCTGCACTGGCGCTTGTAACCTCTGGAAATTGTACCCTGTCCGCCAATCCCAGAAATGCAAGGTACCATTATCCCCTCCCGATACCAAAACACCTTCGGCATTCACACCGAGGCAATTTAGGATAGCATTGTGACCGGATAAGTTCTGGATGAACTTTCCGTCTGGACATTTCCACTGCTTGATGTTGTCGGGGGACCCGGAGGCGAACATGTTTAATGTGGGATGGAGTACCACGTCCCTGACGCTCTTTTTGTGGTTGGTTAATGTGCAAATTGATTTTCCAGCTGCTAAATCCCAAAGCCGTATTGTTGTGTCGTGCGATCCCGTTATAACTTGGGGTTCTGAAGCCTGGGCCACTACTTTAGCAACTGTGTGTGTGTGACCTGAGAACAGAGAATAAAAACACAATAGAACGTAGTATATTATTGCAGTGTTGGGTATATTCTACCCTATTTTCTACACGTAGAAAATTAGTTTTGCATATTGAACAATCTTTTTTTGGAGTTTATGTATATTTTATACTTAAAAATGAGTGCAACAAATAATATTCTACATTCTCTATATAGAAAATTAATTTTCTACGCGTTGTTACAGAATAAATGTTTTCTTAAATTTAATTTACCAGTTAGTGTGTGGATGTTAGCTTTTGTCCTCATATCCCATACTCTCGCTGTAGAATCTCTGCCTGCTGTTAATAGCACGTCAATTGTAGGATGTAAAGCTAGGGAATATACTGCTGACAGATGTCCGTGATAATGTCGGATAACCTAAACAAGCAAAATAGTAACATCCTCGTTATGTAATAAATAGAAAATTAATAGAAACCTTATTATATTCCAAATCCCAACACTTTACTTGTCGATCTTCGCCACAACTAAACAAATAAGGATGTCTCGCGCTAACTGCCAGACCTCTGACTGTGCTTACATGACCTGTCAGTGACACTTTTAACTGTCCCGATGCCAGATCCCATATTTTGATAATCCTGTCTGCTGCACCCGTAGCAAACCACTAAAACATACAAAAATATAGTCATTATTAAAAAAAATATATTATGAATAGCTAACTGACTTCATTCCCAGGTTCTACCGCAACACATCTCACCCATCCCAAATGTCCGGCAATAACTCTGTACAATTTCCATGGCGGATGCCATTTAGGTTTAGGCATTGTGGGAGTCTTTTTAATCATTGTTGCCAGTTGATTTTGTTGAGTTTGTTGGAAACGATTTGTAACAGAATTATCTGTAAACGGTACTACTGCCATGTCGTGAGCTTGATTTGTTTCTTGGTCTCCAGTCCCTGGAGGAGGCGGGTTAGGACCGGCTTCAGTATCACGTAGATTTTTCATGGCCTGCATTTTCTTGACATCGTCAAAAACCAAACCATAGGAATCGCGAGCTTTCACCGCTCTTCTGATTTTCTCTCTACAAAAAACATAAGGGAGGTAATTTCGTGTATCCTAAATTATCGCAGTAAAAAAATACTTACGCGGCTTCATCGATGGGAGGCAAAAGGCTCTGATTTGAAAGAAACATATCGTGTGACCGTTTTAAGGAACGAAAGACCAGCGTGTGAACTGAATGTCTTTGTACGTCTTCCGTCATTGTTAATACTGTTGGATATTGTAGGGCTTTTTCTCCAGCAAAATTAATTAAATAATAAACATAAACAAGATTATAAACGCTTGACGGGGGCGATTAGGAATAGATCACAAAACAGAAAACACATACACAAGAATAGATAACCTTCATTCTTCTTTTCAAATTATTAGCGGCTCTAGTAGTATTGGTTTAATGACCATAGCTGCTAAGATCTACTTATTCTTCTTTTCCGTATGACGGCCTTAATTCACCAGGACTATACGGCCCACAGATTGGATACTACTAATCTTTGGTAGGTAATAGCAGGAAGTCAGGTAAAAAAAAACGGTAACAATCCGTCAATAATGCAACAAAACATAAATTTTCTTTCCCATTTAGTTTGAGTCTTTTAAAAATATATATCAACAAGACCAATTTAATAAGAAAAGATTTTAAGATTTTTTATGGGTTCAAATTTAAATTATTGCTTTATTAATCTGGAACAAATAACCAACAACCCTACTTTTAAATTTTATTAAAAATTAAAATTACACGATATAACTCAAAAACACTTTTAATCGCATTTTTTATTAATACATATTTCATTTAATATCTCAAACACAGACGACCAATAAAATGAAGATATTAAGATCTATCAAATAGAATTGATCCAAAGTTAATAAAAAGAAATTGAATGAAAAAAGTTTTGTCATTTAGAAAATGCTAATAAAAAGATTGTCCATTATTAAATAACGTCACTGGAAGAAAATTCGTAAAAAGTTATTGTTTTTGATAATGAATGGATAGAAAAAGGAACAGAGGTAAGTTGAAACAGTAAAAAATATGAGGTGAGAGTGAGAAAAGTGCAGACATCTAAGCGGCAGCTTCTACTTCCATTCGTTGGGGCTCCGCGGCATTGCTCTCGGATTTCTTCTTCTTCTTTTTCGCTGCCTTGGGATTGGCCGAGCTGTTCAGTAAAGTTTTCAGTTCTGGGTCAGTAATAGAATGTTCAGATTTATACTGATCAGGATCAATAGGCAAGCCTAAACAAAAAAAAATCGTTAAAGAATGAGAAAAATGTCAAGTATAGTCTGTCCCATAAGTCAAGAAAGATTTTGACAGACGCCATAAAAATCTCTGTATTATTACCCACCTGTTATCCTGTGAGGTCCATTGGGCATCAACAACACCGTAAACTTATACTGGGCTACAAACTCAGCTAAAAAAAAGCAATACAAATATATTATATCAATATATTTTTGTAGCTTACAAATAACTTACATGGTTTTTCATAGAGCACCTGGAAAGGTTCCACCAGTTTGTTTTTTATGCACTCATTCACACCCATTTTTGCTTTAGTTTCATCCTCGAAATACCTCAGGTTAAAAGGCATATTACCGTGTTTCGATCTGACCTAAAACCAAATCTGTTATGATCTCTTTTGATCACAATAAAAATTAATGTCACACCAACCTCCGTATAAAACATTCTTGATGCTTTAAGCTTCAACTGATAGGTCTCGTCAGTTTTTTTATATATCGATACCCGGGTCTCTGTTTCCTTTCCTACACCTTCTCCAGTGCTAATCAGAACGTCCATGGCGTACACCTCGTACTTGTCCAATTCAAATTTTTCGTGCTCTTTTTTCTGTGCATCATTGGGATTCTAAAAATTAAACCAGGTACATATTTCATGTTTTTTTTGTTCGCAAATAGATTTTTAATCCTTACTTGAATTATAGTTTTTTCACAATCGATCTTAAATTGTTTTAACTGATGACTTAACATGCCCTCAACTGGCTTGCAGGAATACGACTCTGCAACTTTTTGCACAGCATCTGTAATTGCATAGGTCTGATTGCCTGCTTTTAGTAGCCTCAATGCTGCCTGTGATGCATAGTGTGCAGCCAAAATAACATCAGCTTTACGTCCTAAAAATATAATAGAGTAAATGCCAGTCTTAAAACATATTTCTTAACACAAAACTAAATTAGTTCAGATTAAGTATTATATCATTATTTACTCATAGGGATCAATTGGAGAATATAATAAATATCATCATAGTATGATTTGATAAAATTTAATTAAAAAAGGAATTTGTAGTTATTTGTACCTGTTACTTTTTTGTCTGGAGTTGCTCCTACCACAATTGTATGAGCTACAACAGCTATAAATCCATCAATGTGGGCTCCCAAGTCACTGCAAAAATAATATCTATTTAGATATCTTTAATATAAAAAAAAATTAAGGCTAATTTTTTAAATAAACTCAGTTTTATTAAATTGTCAGATCACAAATCATCAGATGGATCAATTGGAGTTAAAAATAAATTCATCATTATAAAACCTAAAATGTTACATCTATAATTTTTAATCAATGACCATGAAAGTACTTACATTTTAGCAACATCTCCATCTTTTAAGATATAATCTGGTTCACTGGGAACAGGAGAGTAGTGGCAAATGCAATTATTTACCGACACGCATGTGGGAAATGCAATGCCTTTCTTCAAATCTTTCTCCTTCTTAAACACCTTGCTGGTTTCTTCCAAGAGAAGCTGATCTCCTAGTTCGCACAGAGCTCTAACTGATGCCTGAGCAACACATTTGTCAACTAGTTGTTTTAGTATTTCTAGGTAAACAAAAATATATCAGTAAACAATCATGTAAAAAAAATGTGTACACTATATTCTGGCTAGTGAATTTTGTAAAACATTCTAACATAATAGTATGCTACTCCAAAACGCAAGTTAATACTTAAAAACCTCTGTATCATTTTTTATCATAGCTGCATAAATTAAATTGTGAACGTTTTAAGGTGTACGGAAACCGCATGGCAAGTTAGACGCTGTACACATGCTCCATATGGGCATACGCATAATCGTTTACATAAAGTAGGAAAATCTATCGGTGCTCATGACCACACGATACCAGATAAACATTAGTTACAAAAACTCACTATTAACTATTTCTCCGACCATTTTATATTTGGTAACAACCAAATCTTCGGCAATCGTTTTTTCCGCCACATCTTTGTCGTCCGCCATTTTCACAAATTTTCCTTTTATGCTTGTCAAAGTTGTCAAACCTGTCAAGCGGATTAAAGTCGTTCTTCTTAATTTTTTGGTGGTATTTAGTAGCCAGAACAGTCTTCTTGAAATGTTAAAAATTTCAAAAAAATTCCAAGGAGAATGAATGGTTCTGGCAACTAAAATCCTTCTAAGGAGGAGAAAGAATATTAATCTTAGTGGTTATTTGTAGTCCCCTATATCTATTTCTCAGGAAAATTGTGTTAGGGATGGGTATAAATAGAAATAAATGTATAAAAAACTATTTTTTACGCGTAAAGAAACAATATTATATAAAACAACGTCCCTGTTTTTTGCTATGTAAAGAACTTGTAGAGAAAACAGTTCGTTCAGAGTGGTAAAAAAATCTTGAAAGTCACATTTCACATTCTGATCACTCCGACAACTGTTATTTCTTTTTTAAATCGAAATTTAGAGATAATCTTTCTGCTAGTTAAATTAAAAAACTATTTATTATTCAATAATAAAAAATATATACATTTGAATGTTACACTGTATTTAATTAATAAAAAATCATATGCTAAAATCCCTTTTCCTCTGAATAGCCTTTTTCCTTGCTTCAGTATTATGATTTTTGTAAAATCCAAAACCGTTTTGCCCATCTTTGCGTTTTTTCTTCGATTTTGACTTTTTACCTATAATAATTAAAACCAATAGTAAAAAAATTAATTATAATTGAACTACAATTACCTTTCATCCCAGAGATATTTAATTCAATTTGAGGTGTACTTTTAAAACCAAAGGATAAACCAACTTTAGCTAAATCTAGCTTTGTTACATCAAAGGCTACCCTGGATTTGTGGGCATCGTATGCTGTTAAATACGATCTGTATGCTTCTCTTCCCAATTTATTCAACTCGGTATGATTCTCTACTAGATATTCCAGCTAAAATATGAGTATTTTTGTTTATGGAGTTTAATAAAAAAAATCAACTGTACTTGTGATTGTATGCCTGAGACTTTTTCCCACTGAACTTTGTACTCATTTAATGGAATTTTAGCCTGCTTTAAGTACCATAAGTAACCCAGTTCTTGTACCATTAAAACTAATAAACCATTTCCAGTAGTACCTAAAACATTATTTTAATACCGCAATTTTTTTTCCTACACAAAAAAATACCAGCTCTAGCTGTACGTCCAACCCTGTGGATATATTCTTTAGGGTCATCAGAGGGATCATACTGTACAATCCAATCAACTACAGGAATATCTAAACCTCTAGCTGCTACATCTGTACATAATAATATTCCAGATGAAGAGTTACAAAACTGGAAAAAAGTTTTTGTTCTCTTTGTTTGTTTTTGTCTACCCTAAAATTATATATTTCTCATAATATAGTAATTTATAACATAAAAAACTTACATGAATCCTTAAACAAGACATGTCAATATAGTTGAGTAATTTATAATGGTACTCCACAGAGTTACAAGTACTAAAAAACACCATAACTTTTTTATTTTTGTTCTTTTTTAAGAACGAATATAAAAATAAGAGTCGGTGTTCAGTGGGACACACAACATATCCCTGCTGTAAACCTACAAAAAGTATAAGAGTTAGAATAATAATATATTCAAATGTTATAAAATACCTGCTACAGTGGATTCATCAGTTGTTTCATTGGCATGTACACACAGGGGATCTTTTTTTAAAGCTAATTTTGCCAACATTTCACTTTTTTCTGTTTGAGTAGCACTGAAAAGCATTGTCTGTCGTTTCTCTAATAAAAATTGTGATAATATAGTAATGCATGGTATTTACCATTATGCTATTAACTTACTAGGTAAAATATTTAAGATTTGAGTCATTTCGGCTTCAAATCCAATTTCTAATATCCTATCTACCTCATCAATAATTAAACATTGCAAATTATTATAAATAAAGCCAGAGGTATTTTGTAAATGATCAAGTAACCTATAAGCAAAAGAGTTCAAAATCCTTTATATTTAGGTACATTCAATATATTTGTTACCTTCCAGGAGTGGCTACTAAAAAATTGACACCATCTAACAATTTTTTAGCTTCTGTTCTCCTGTTGGTACCACCCATTATCACTCCATGGGTACAGCTATGATATGTAGTCAAGTCCCTTAAAACACCATAAGTCTGCATAGCTAACTCTCTTGTTGGTGTTATTATAATAACTTGTGTGCCTAAGTTTAAAAAGCAAATTAATAATTACCAAACTGAATTACTTAAAATATATTTTCTTACCATTTTTAGCATCCAAATTTGATTTAGATATTAGTTCGATTGCAGGTATCAAAAAAGCTAATGTTTTTCCTGAACCAGTTTTAGCATATCCTACCAAATCCTTACCTGTAAATGGAAAAGTTGAACACACATTTTCTAAAATAAATTTCATACCTTCATACCTTCAAGCAAATGTGGTATAGTTTTCAGCTGAATATCAGTAAGGGTTTTAAATCCTTTCTCTGATATAGCTTGTAATGTTTTATCACAAACGCTATCCCTTAAGGAATCAAAATCTTTATGAAGTAAAAGCTCTAAAGTGGTATTAGACCCGGTTACTAAAATAATTTCCATTTGTTAAGAGTTTTACAAGTGATATATATTTTATTTACATACTATGTTTCTCAAACTCTTCATAGTTTTGTATCTGAGGTGTTGAATTTGTAGCACTTAGTAACTTCAAATTGTTACCCTGTTTTGGTTGAACTTCTTCAGTTATGACCCTTTCATTAATTTTTGGTTTTTCTAAAAACAATATATAGTTCAGATTATTTTTATCTATAAACTATACATTAAGAACTTACTATTGCTTCCTCCTTGAAAGACATGTTTCCTTTTATTGTTTTCTTTAAGGTTATTATTGTCCTGACCTGCAAAGAGACAAAGATAATGATAAAAATGCCTATTTATTAAGTTATTGAATTTTAACTAACTTATTGAAGTAGGTTTTGGAGTAACTTTTTTTTGTAAAATATTTAACTTTTTCCTAGGCTTAGGATTTTTTTCAGCGTTTATACTTGTTTTCACCATAATGATAAATAGAACTTCAACATTACTAAATTTATGTTAAAATTTAGGAAATGCAAATTTCGGAAAAATATCACAGAAAAATGAGAAAAAATAACTTAACCTCTATTTTCGAACTATACCACAGAACAATTTTGAAAATGAATTTACCAGGGTTGGGTTGACCCTTGGTTGACCACTGGGAGTATTGTAGTAGAGACTTTGGAAAACGGTTCGACAGTCCTGGCAACTGTAGCCTTCAAATCAAAATATGACAGACCGGATGGTTCTAGCAGCTTAGGCCTTATTAAAAATATGATAAAACTTCACTTAATTTAAATAATGCAACACCTCCAATTTAATTAAAATTATAGGCATAATATCTAAAATTAGCAAATAAATACATTCTATTTTAATATTTTTTATATTTATTATCATTTGAATTATTCTTGTTCCTGAAAGCACCATTGCCATTTTGAGTAAAATTTCGTTGTTTATAGTTATGGCTACCATTCTTATGAAACTTGCGATGACCTAAAAGAATAATAGTTTTTTTGTTGTTTATAACTTAAATTATTTATAAAAACCTTTTCTATCGGCCGACACAAAATCTGTGCTTGGACATCTTTTCAAACCAAAGGATGTGGCAATTTTTTGCAGATTTAATTTGCTTACATCGAAAACTGATTTGGACTGGTGCGACTCGTATGCTTTTATATATGAAAAGTAAGCCTCTCTAGCCAATTTCTTCAAATATGGATTACCATCTACTATGGATTCAATCTTAAAAATAAAATATTGTTAATTTTACAAAGTAAAAATAGTATAAACACTTTTTTTTAAATATACCTGCATTTGAATATTTGAAAGTTTATCCCATTGAATATTATATTCGTTAAGCGGAATTTTTGCTTGTTTTAAATACCACAAGTATCCAATTTCATCAGGTAGCAACATTAGCAAGGCATTACCGTTGCTACCTAAAAAATATAATTTTTAAGTACTTTTTTTATATAAAAAAAATGATATATCATTAAATTTCTAGTACCTCCTCTAGCTGTACGTCCAACCCTATGGATATATTCTTTAGGATCATCAGAAGGGTCATACTGTACAATCCAATCGACTACAGGAATATCTAAACCTCGGGCTGCTACATCGGTACATAATAATGTACCAGTTTCGGCATTAGAAAATTGAAAAAAAGTCCTAGTACGTTTGATTTGTTTTTGTTTGCCCTACAAATTATATTTGTTTAGTTAAAAAAAACAGAAATTAATTTACTATACACACTCACATGAATACACATCACAGGTAAATCAATATAATTCAACAGCTTGTAGTGGTATTCAACTGAATTGCACGAACTAAAGAACACCATAACTTTCTTCTTTCTGTGTTTTTTCAAGAAAGTGTAAAGAAATTGGAGCCGTAACTCTGGAGAACATGCTACATATCCCTGTTGTAGTCCTACACATAGTAATATTGTAAATTAAACTAAATATAACCAGTAAAAATTGTCTCACCTTCAACAGTTGATTCGTTTTTAATATCTTCTACTTGAACATATATTGGTTCCTTTTTGAAAGCAAGCTTTTCTAACATTTCAGTCTTCTGACTTTGAGTGGCACTAAATAACATTGTCTGCCTTTTTTCTATAAAGGATTATACAAATTATCAGAAATAAATAATTGTATTTAATGCTACTTACTAGGCAAAATGTTGAGAATTTGTGTTACTTCAGCTTCAAAACCAATTTCTAGAATTCTGTCTACTTCATCAATAATTAGACATTGCAAATTTTTGTAAACAAAGTCTGGAGTATTTTGTAGATGATCTAATAATCTAAAAAGGCATAAAATCAATATTAATTTTACTTATAAAAATAATAAAACTCACCTTCCAGGAGTGGCTACTAAAATATTAAGTCCATTTGATAATTTTTTAACTTCAGCTTTCCGGTCGGCTCCACCCATTATTAAACCAAGGGTGTGATGATGATTAGCCATGAGCTCTTTTAAAACACCATAAGTCTGCATAGATAACTCCCTTGTTGGTGTTATTATTATAACACCAGCACCTGTAAATTAACTATGTTTTATAAGGTTTATATAAAAAATCTTCCTATTTTACCATTTCTGTGTTTAAATTTCAACTTATACATTAACTCCACTGCGGGTATAAGAAACGCTAACGTTTTTCCAGAGCCTGTTTTAGCAGTTCCTACCAAATTTTTACCTGGAAAAAAGCATTCAAAATAAAAACGATTATAAGCTTTTTATTACTCGATTATTTACCTTCCAGTAATGATGGTATAGATTTAAACTGAATATCAGTCATAGAAACAAATCCCATATCAGCAACAGCTTTCAGAGTTTTAACACTGACAAAACCTTTTAAAGATTCGAAATTATGAGTTATTACATCCTCTAGGGGTACTTGTTTATCATTTTTATCAGTATCATTCAATAAATTATCTGGTTGTGATTCTTGATCTCCATTGTTAGCATTTAAGGGTAGTGTTTCAACATGTTTAGTTTTCTTCTCTGAAATTCAATGAATCAAATGAAAAATAATCTTTAAAAACTAATAATTCCTACTTGGTGGAGAAGATTCGGTATTGTCAGACTTCCGTTTTTTAATCTTGATGCTTTCTGAAATCACTTCATCATCTAAAATTTAATTTAATATTCTGTAAATCTATAAAATATATGTTTTTTAAGTAAACATACCTTTTTGAACTGCAGTTGATTTACCCTCAATATCTTTATTATGTATTAATGTTAATTTCTTTTTTTCACGCTTTTTTATTTTCCGCATTAATATTTTTTCGGTTAGTGCCATTTTTAACGACTTTTATTCTAACATAAAAAGAAATAAAATTTTACACGTTTTATAGAAGTCCTTTAGAATTTTTTTAGGATTTTTAATGTCAAATCAAAATAAAAGGTTAAGTATACAAAAAAATTTCTATTCCTTTCAGGATAAAAGCTTTTAGCAACCAGGTCTATCTAAGCAACCAATAAATATCCAATCATTTCCGGATAATCCTAGCAGCTGAGGCCTTAAAATAAATCCATTAATCTATATTCATCATTAAAATCATATATGAGATTGAAATTGATCTATGGTATTACTTTTTCTTATCTAAGCTCTATGGTTATGATAAAATTATTGCAGGGTTGGGCTTTTATAGATGTAGTTATTTTACGTATTTTAATGGTGAAGAGTTTAAAAAGAGAATATGAAAAATGGAATGAATAATGAATAGGCCGTTTTCATTTGATGTGTTAAACGGCCGTAGATTTTAGGTATAATAAAATATAATAAAATGTTATTAGAATTATGATATAAATATTTTATAACTTATTTATTTAACATGTGGATAATATAAAAAAAACTATCTAGTAAATTTTTTATCAAACGGCCCATTTTTCTTTTTGGGCTGTCTGTAAATCACATTTTTTCTCGCTTCTTTCTCAGACATGGAGTTCATGTTTTTGTAAAATCCAAAACCACCACCGCCTTTCCTTTTCTCAGGTCTTTTGCCTAAATAAAAAATAATTAGACATAATAATATACACGTTAGCCTAAAACACTATAAATTTACCTGCAGAAAAACTTAGATCTACAGCTGGAGGTGTTTTAAATCCAAAAGACACTGCTACTTTTGCCACATCTAAAGTACTTATATCGAATATGGTTTTCAAATGATGGGAATGATAAGCTCTTACATAAGATTTAAAACCTTCTTTTGCTGAGAGATTTAAAAAGTAGTTTTTACTAATAAGATTCTCCAGCTGAAACACCAAAAACATATATATTAATAAAGTAATTAAGATATTCAAAATAGTTACTCTACCTGCAGTTGAATATCTGCAATTTTATTCCAGCTGAAGACAAATTCATTCAGAGTGACCTTAGCTTGTTTCAGATACCTTAAAAAGCCCAATTCTTCAGGTCTTAAAATAAGCAATGCATGTCCGCTACTCCCTAAAATGAAAACTTTGAATAAAAATGACAGACAACTCCCAATGACATATTAAACTCTCTTGTTGGATATACTATATATATATTGTAAAGATAATGAATATTTTAAAATTTTCAGTAAAAACGACAGTTGATGTTATAAAGATTAAATTATACTGAAACTTAAAAGCCACAAAGATATCATTTTACTTTTAAAACATTTTACCTTCTCCTCTAGCAGTTCTTCCCACTCTATGAATATACTCCTTGGGATCATCTGGAGGATCGTACTGCACAATCCAGTCGACATCTGGTATATCCAAACCTCTAGCAGCAACATCGGTACAGAGCAAAGTTCCAGACGTTGCATTACAAAACTCAAAGAACGTTTCTGTTCTTTTACTTTGTTTCTGTCTACCCTGAATTTCAAGATTAAAGAGAATATAATTACTGACCCTGTATCTGTATACACTAACAAAATCTCCTGATCCTGATAAATAAAAAGAAAATAATATGTAAAAAATCTTACATGAATGCACTTGACTGGTATATCAACATAGTTGAATAGTTCATGGTGATATTTGACTGACATGCACGAACTGAAGAAAACCATAATCTTCTTCTTACTGTTTTTTTTGAGAAAGGTAAACAGTACAAGTAGACGTTTTTCGGAAGGGCATACAATGTAACCCTGTTCCAAACCTAAACAAATAAATTAGAAATTGAAGATATAAGTAAAAATATGATGTAGTCATACCTGATACTGTTGCTTCTAGCTTAGTATCATCTACTCCAACATAAATAGGTTCCTTTTTTAAGGCCAATTTTGTAAGAGCTTCGGTTTTGTCACTTTGGGTTGCACTGAATAACATGGTTTGTCGTTTTTCTAAAAACACACAAAAATAAGAAAGTTATTTGAAATAATCTTGGGTTTTTACTTACTAGGCAAAATTTTGATGATTTGCTTTAAATCCTCTTCAAACCCTATATCCAGTATTCTGTCTGCTTCGTCAATGATTAAGCATTGCAAATTTTTGTACAGGAAATCTGGAGTATTTTGTAGGTGATCTAGTAATCTAAAATATATTTATTTTGTTTATAAAAGAGGCAATATTACTTTAATATAACTTACCTTCCTGGAGTAGCAACTAGAATATTTATGCCTTTTGATAATTTCTCTGCTTCCGTATTTCTACTAGCACCACCCATAACCAACCCGTAAGTGTGGTAATGATACTTCATTAATTCCTTCAAAACTCCAAACGTTTGCATTGATAATTCTCTAGTGGGTGATATTATAATAACTCCAGTTCCTAAAAAAATTTACTTAAATCTCTAGACTTACAGAAAATATTTAGACTTACCATTTCTGGGCATGTATTTTAATTTGTATATTAATTCTATAGCAGGTATAAGAAAGGCTAGAGTTTTTCCTGAACCAGTTTTAGCTGAGCCAACTAAATCTTTTCCTTCGAGTAAGTGAGGTATACTTTTGACTTGAATTCCAGTTAAATTACTAAATCCCATGTCTGCTACGGCTTTTAATGTGTTTTCACATACTATATCTTTAAGTGAGTCGAAAGTGCAATTACTTAAAATGCCTAAGGTTTTGTTGGGTCCTGTTAAATAACTTTTATTATGAATATACAGACAAAAAAACTGAATAAATTTATACCTTGTACTTTGTCTTGTGATTGTTCATTCAACGTATCTGTAGATACATTAATGTCTTCTCCTGAATCATTGTTTTCTGTATCACTTGGGCCTGTTTTATCTTTATTCTTCTTTACCTTTTTACCTGAAAATAACACATCACATATTATTAACATTATAATTAATAATATTAAAGTGACTATCATATCTAAGTAATATCAGAATCATTCTTGAATTCCTTGCCTCAACTTAAAGATTTTCAATCAAAAATCCAAGGAAGCATCATATTCGCCTTATTATTCATCATGATTTGTGAAAAAAAAACAATAATTTCAATTAAAGTACGTAATTATTACCTTTTTTTACTTTTGGGGTGTCGTTTAAAGTTTCTATGCTGTCGCCTAGGTCAGAATCTAATAAACTAACTTTATTTTTATTCTTCTTTTTCTTTTCTAAAATTAATATAAATTGTGTTCATAAAGTCATTCATGTTACTAAATGAATAAATATACTTTTTGGAGGTCCGTCTTCTGGAATAATTGTCCGTTTCAAAACATTTTTACCGGATTTAATAAAACTTTGAGCTGGCGATTCTGGTTCTTCATGTTGAGGGCTCTGAAGCTTATTTTTCTTAAGGAGCTTCAGTTGCTTTTTCTGTTTCTTCTTTCGTGCTAATTCACTTTCCATTGTTAAAATTGTATAAAAAGCTTTGCAATTGATAGAATTTTATTAATTTACACGTGTTTAAATGCCTTGACAAAACATTATTTATGTAAAAATTCAGGGGTTATGTTGTACATTTTTACTTTTCTTCTTTTTTATTTTAAGGGTTTCAGTTGCCAGAACTTGGCTGTCCAAAGACACTTGGCCAAAATAATAAAAAGAAGAAAAGTTTTCCATATAAATTTTTTACGCAGCCTTTGCAAAGTGCAGAATACTAACTTGTGAATTCAAAAGATGATACAGCTATTGTGCACTAGATGGCCTCGCTAACTAATATGCATATACAACCAGTAAAACACCGTCTCAGTATTTTTAGTTGCATATATTACCAGACGCAAAGGGATTAATTTTCAAAAAATTATTTTTCAAGCCATACAGAAAACCTTTTCTTAAAATGGCCCATTTCCTAATTGGACAAGAGACGATATGTGTCACATTAGTGAAAATATATACGTAATATTTTGCTTACGTATAAGAGAGAACAAAAATAGGTTTCCGTTGACTTAGCAACAGTTCACATGAAAATATTTAAATATATGTGCCTCGTCATAGGCAGTTGTCTTCGTGCCAAAGTTACAGATGAATGTGTTATAATTTTATAACGAATTAAATAAAAGTAGACTAATGCGAAAAAACCTGTTAAATTTATATCAAATAATTTTCTATAAAATATTTCTGAATTACAGTTACACTAAATTAACCAGATATGTAAAATTAAGAACAGGTAGCATACTCGCTGGTAGAGCGTAGGACGGCATCACATTGATATGCCACGAAGGAATCGGTCAAATACGCTTTTCTTAATCTTTGCTATGGCGCTGAGAATTTCTACCTGCTTGGAAATCTGACCTGATATACGCCTGTCTCTGTTTGACTGAAATTGTTCTTAATTCTACCGCTCTGAGATCTTTGATGAAAATACCGAGGTGTTAGAAACTTATAAGAATACCTATAAAACATATTAGTATTCGATAATAATATGCTTTTTTACTTATAATTCCTAAGTCTTATAGGTATATCTGCAAGTTTATTGGTCGCAGAGAAGCAAAAAGAAAGAATACTCCATAATTTTAAAGATAATTGCTTATTACCATCGCTTATAACTATTACTATATCTAATTATTTGAAAAAATATGGTACCTAGATTTAAAAGTATTTAAAAGCAACTATTTCATTTCGTTTCTTTTTGTTTTCAGTGGCGTGCACTAAAATTATGACTGGGGGCGAGTTGCATTTCTAACTGAATAAGACCACGAGCTTATTAGTCAATCTTATTAAAAACACGTAGGAAAATAGTATATAGGTACCTAATAAATTAATAAAAATTGTAGGATTTGTCCCAGAAATAAGTGCAAATATTTTAACTGGCAGTATAGTTCAACCCCAGAAACACGCCTATGAGGGTTTTTTCGCGAAAAATGTTTTTTAAAAATTCGAAATTTTTTGAAACATTTTTTTGGAATTTTTTTTAATTTTTAGTTAAAAAACATAATTTCTTGATAATACGGCAACATAGGTATTAGATTAAAGTTACAAGAAAAAAAAACCAGAAAAGATCCAGTGGTTCTCAAAATTTTATCAAAAAATAATTTTTTTTTTGAAATTTTCGAAGTAAAATAACTCCGTTATTTTGGACTTATTTGAAAAACGACAAAGAGAAAATATGTTTCTTTTCTGGAGATCTACCAGCCCTTAAAATACTTGCACTTATTTCTGGGACACCCTGTATATACATATAACGAAAATCAACAGGAGAGTGCCATTCAAAAGAATTATTGAGATTTTTTAATTTTAAATTAGTAGAATTTCATAAAGTCATTTTCAATTTTTTTTGGGCTGTTAGTTGCTATGTTTGACATTTTTAAATGTTTTAAACAGGTTTAAAACACCATTACTTGTTTTATACTTGAGTTTTAAATATTTGTTTAAACATATGCTTGGTTTGTAGGTATTTTTTTAAATAAAAAATAAAGAAACCCCTTTCTTTTAACTTTTAACTCTAATATAAAAGGCATAAAAAACAAAGTAAACACTTCAATCTTATATGTATTGCTTAGAAAAAAAATCGTTCAACTCATGATAATAGTAAAAAATACTTAGCTCTGATAACAAAACTAATAAAAAACATGGTACTTATAATCACTTAATGATTACAACTTTTTTGAGATCTTAATTGTTGGAGTACCGTTAAGGTTAAAATCTCCAAAAATCTATTTACTTTTAGTTTAAAACAATCGTTTCAAACAAGATTTAAACATAATCCCGAAGAATTCTACGCAGAATCTAAAAATAAAAATAAAATTGGTGTATTATAACCCTTAAAAATGCATATTTTATTTCCGCCACACATTTTTGAAGCTCTCTGTATACTAAATAATTTTAGATTTTGTATCCTAATATAGCATTCTCAAAAATTTTCCTATTCAATTAGTTTTCATAGTTTCACAAAACGAAATAATAAACTTAATCGTTGATAACAAAACTAATAAAAAACATGGTACTTATAATCACTTAATGATTACAACTTTTTAAGATCTTAATGCTGAAGTACCGTTAAGGTTAAAATCTAAATTTTGTATCCTAATATAACATTCCCAAAAATTTTCCTATTCAATTAGTTTTCATAGTTTTCACAAAACGAAATAATAAACTTAATCGTTGATTCACCCTGTATACAGGGTGTCCCAGAAAATAAGTGCAGGTATTTTAAGGGGTGGTAGATCTTGATAAAAGAAACATATTTTCTCTTTATCGTTTTCAAATAAGTCCAAAATAACGGAGTTATTTTACTTTGAAAAAAAGATTTTTGCTAAAATTTTGAGAACCACTGGATCTTTTCTGGATTTTCTTTCTTGTAAATTTAATCTAATATCTATGTTGCTATATTATCAAGAAATTATGTTTTTAACTAAAAACTAAAAAAAAAAATTCAAAAATATTTCGAATTTTCAAATTTTTTTGCGAAAAAAGCCTCATAGGCGTGTTTCTGGGGTTAAAATATACTACCAGTTAAAATACTTGCACTTATTTCTGGGACACCCTGTATAGATCGAGGATTCATATATACGGGTGCCGTAATAACGGATCGGTAATAGGTCGATTTAAAAAAGGGTCGGATTTTAAAAAAAATTGATAATGGCAACTAAAAAAAACGTGGGTTTGAAAATCTGGTAATACAATCTTGTAGAACAAAAAAAATAACAATCTTCTCAAAGTCACAAAAATATAAAATGCATCAAAGAATATTGTTTTTTTCAAAAATCTTCCGAAGTAAGTATTTGGAATTTTAAAGCTTCGAAGACGTCATTTTGTTCAGTATCAAATTGCGCAAATCAATCTCGAAGGCAAACTGTTCGTACAAATTGCTGTACGGCATATTGTATCGTCTATGAGACCTTTAAGCCTGTTACGTATACGCGCAGTACTATATGTCAAACAGAAAAAAGAATCGCACAGATATTAATACCCTTGGAACAGTGCCTAAAACTGTTGTTAGGTACTTACTGCATGGTCTTAAAGTGGAGTCATATTCTGATATAAAATAAACTCTAAACGAACCTTCCACCTATCACAAAGGGTTGTATTTATCTATAAAAAGAAATAAATTTGAATAACACGAAAGGGTATGCAGTAGTTTTTGAAGTAAAACTTCTTTACGCGCGATGGGGTAAAAGTTGAAAGCCGTGTTAAAAATTATTCTTTAATTAGATACTATAAGACTATACAAAATTACTATACAGGGTTGTTCATCACATACGACACGGAATATTGTAGCCAAACGATTATATAGATTCTTACAAATTGTAAGTTTTGGCTTCGTTGAAGGACTATTAAGAGCTACAATTTAAAAATAATTTTACAAGATACAGAGTGTCCCAAATAAGTAAAAAATATTATAGTTGTATTTTTTTAAATGGAACACCCTGTATATTATTCTATTTTTAGATTCTACGATTGAAATAAAGGTAAATTTCATTAAGGTTTATCACACTTAAACCCTACTATTTTTGAAATATTTTCAATTTTATGAAATTGCAGTAAAAATTTTAAGGCTTCATTTCTCGAAGGGTATCGAAGTTTTTAATACTAAATATTTACTAAAGTTACGATAACCAGATATCTTGTCTGATAGTCAAGCAGCGTTAAAGGCGATCAACTCAGTATCAATCAATTCGAAATTGGTCAAAGAATGCATAGAGAAGCTGAATAAATTAGGCAAAAGAAAACAAAGTCCTCCTACACTGGGTGCCTGCTCACCAAGGGATAGAAGGCAATGAAAAAGCAAATAATCTAGCTAGGAAAGGAGCGAACACTCCACTAACTGGACCAGAACCGTTCTGCTTTCCAAGTGGTACCCAACTCAAGGCGGAACTCAAGAACTTGGAAGATTCCATCCGCAACCTGGAATGGAAATCTTGCAATGGTCTAAGACACTCGAAGAAGTTTCTGAGGGCTTATGATCAAGAAAAAATCACAGATCTTCCTGGGTCTGAGTAAGAACAATCTTCGGATTGTCACGGGGTTTTAACAGGACACTGTCTCATCAATGAACACCTCAGTAGATTGAAACTAAGAAGAAACGGCGAATGCAGATTCTGTGGGGAAGATGGTGAAACACCAGTACACCTCATCACTGAGTGCGCCGAGACGACAACCATTCGTGCCATGAATTTTGGTACGACTGATATTGGAGATGGAGAACTACCCTCTATAAAACCGTCCCAGATACTGGCTTTTGTCAAAGCCCTGGGACTGTATGATGAGTTATGATTCAAGAAAGGGGGACACAATGGATCTGTAAGGTCGAAGTGATTAACCCCCCTCCCACTCATTCTAAATTCTAAAAAAAAATTCTACGATAACCAGATGCACAACTTAATTGTCTATCAAATTCTACTATACCATCTTTTAACTATCTCTTCAAGTTTTTGTAGAAAATGCATTTTCTTATAATTTAGACCTAATTTTCAAAATTTCAAAAACAATATTACAGATAGTAATATTGTCGATATAGTCTTTAAAGAGGACCAATTAATATGATCCCAGTTTTCAAACTACACTAATTGACCGTTTACGTT